TGGTCTCCAGCCGCAGACATTCTGATTTGATTGGTCTGGAGAGCAACTTGAATATTCGGATTGAGAAGACCTCTCCGTGTGACTCTAATGTGCAGCAAAGTTTGGGAATGACTGGCAGAGATGGAGAACTTGCTATCAAATGGCATGCCCACCTGCCGTCCTCTGCACATTTTAAGATCAGGGGATGGTACACCCCGCAAGTCATGGTGCATCCATCTGAACATTCATCTGCTGGACAAGCAGGAAGGCTACACCTGTACGTGACAGGTAAAGCTGGTCTTTACCACCTCTGTCTGAGAAGGCAATGTGGGCACAGCCAATTCAAATGCAGAGGGGTGTTTTCATCTTGGCTTTCAGCATCTTAAATTGTGCACAGATATTTTAAGATCCCTTGCAGGGCTGCACTTCTTCTTCCCACCTGATCCTGATCCTTACCAACGAGCTCTCTCGGCGGAGTTGGGGGGGGTGTCCACATCCTCAAAGACAGAACAGGTGACAAAAAGTTGGCTAGAGACAGGTTGTCTTTCAGCTCCCATTCCCAAAGCAATGCTGAAGGGGTTATTCATGCAAAAGCTATTGAATCCTGGTGTGTCTCCTTACCTGTGACTTGTCTAAAGGCAGAGGAGGAAGATGGAGTACAATTTCACGACAAAGAAAGGCTCTCTTTTCCTATTCCAGCAGGCTCCAAATTATTTCCCCTCCCAACATCTACTAGTAAAAATCTCACCTCTTTGTCACCCAGGCCTAAAATGGGAACATCACAGATTTATATAAGTTAAAGCCTCACAACCCTGGTTTAAAAAGTGGATGTTAGGTAGCAGTGCCAGATTTCAAAAGTGAAAATACAGGACTCCCAGTTAAATTTGAAATTCAGATGAACAGTGAATCATTTTCTTTTCTTTATTGTTCACCTGAAATTGAAACGTAACTGGGAGTTCTGTATTTTATCTAGCAACGCCAAAGTAAAGAAAAGGTTAAGAGCTATTTGCATGCCAGAGTGAATTAATTCAGCTAGTTTGCTCTTTGCTTAGCCAATAATAGTGTTCAGTGGAATAAGGCTTCTAATGGGGAAAAGGGGGTAACAATTTTTACTTTGGGGTGTCTTCTGGAAGGATTCTAAGGCCACCATAGCAATAAACAGGGAAAAGGGTGTGCTGATTCATTAACCATGTTTGCTATAGGTCTGGGATGGCAAGTGAAGGCATGTGAGCCATACATAGACAGTGATAGGTCAGCATCCAAATGACGTGTACTAAATGGTGTCACTGGGATATTGAACTGGGATTATTTTATAAGAAGAAGAAATGGACAAGCAGCATTTGTCAATGAAGCTGTACAAGAAATGGAAAATTGGCTGAGTGTCGAAAAATAAGAAACTATTCAATACATAGAAACTATGCTTTTTTCTTCTTGGACTAGTTTCTTGCTCTTCCCCTAAAGCAGCTCTTCTCATGCCAGGCACTTGATAGGTGCTTGACACATAAGCACTGACTCAACACTTTGCATTAGAAGTCACAGAGGGAAACTAATGGAATGATTCTGAGCACCACTACCCTTTCTTCCATCAGGCCTTTAATGAGTCACCTAAGGTCATGCAGTGGCAAAACTGTTGGGCCTACAGAAAAAGTCCTTTAAGGCATTCACGTCATTGAGTTTTCCTGCTCTTCCAGAGATCTGGAGTCCACGAGTCCTCACCCACACACCTCCATTCTCCTGCATCACTGAGAACCAAGGCTCCTTCCGGACTACAGGCATTGAACCAAAACGGAAGTAGAGAGCCACCCTTGAATGGAAATGCCCACCTTTGAGTACATTTAGATGGCAGACGGAACCCATTCATCAAACTACGAAAATTCCCTCCACTCTCCAGGAAGAATGGCCATGAAATGCTTGTAAATACATGTCTTCAGGTTTAAACAAATGGCATCATTATTTTTATTTTTTTGAAGGGAGTCCCTGTGAAGGGAACTTGAGGCATGCTTGGCTGTTTGTCCTGCAGACAATGCTTGCCTGGATCTTGTGCCGTTTCCGTATCTTCTGCCCAAGCCAACTGGCCAGCCTCATGGCCTCTCGACAGGAGAAGGGTGCCAATTCCTAACATTCTATTTTCATACTGTTTGATGATAAAAATCACCCCAGCAGGATGAATGGCAGTGAACAAAAACAGGAAGCAGCCCCCTGATTAGATAGGGACAGGGTGGCTTGTAGAGTAATAAACAAAATGACTAAGAAGATAAATGAGAGAACCGTGATGCTGCCATCTCCTTCCTGAACAGGCCAAGAATAAATGGAAAGAAGAAATCAGGAAAGAAGTCATGACTGGGGCTGTAAGCGGGGCTGAAGGAGGCTTGCTCTCCGACATCACTTAGCCGGAGCCTTCCCTGAGTTGCGTCTTGAGTGGAGGCCGTTAGGACGACCATCTGGTTTTCAGTGGCTTCCTTGGAAAATCTTGCCTAAGTGATTTAGTACCTTGCTTTGATATTTGGGGTTCTTTGAAATCTGTGATCTTAGTGCCTTGGCCAAACCAAGGGTCCACTTGGTCATGCACCGCTCTTGGACAGTGGTTCTCCGTTGGGGAGGGAGATGGTAATTTTGCTCTCTAGGGGACATCTGACAATGTCTAGTTCGTTGTCACGACTGATGGATGGTGCTGTTGGCGTCTAGTGGGTAGAGGCCAGAGATGCTGCTAAATATCCTATAACATCCAGGACAGCCCCTAGCAACAAAGAATTATGCAGCCCTAAATGTCAGTAGTAGCCAGCTTGAGAAACCCTGGTTTAAGGTAAGTTAAGACAAAAAAAAAATAGGTATAAGTCAAAGATCAGATGGTTGTAGATGGGTGGTGTTCTGTTCTATTGGGCCTATATATCTTTTTTCTTTTTTACATTAAGATAGTCACATGGATGGTCTATATATCTCCACCACCATGGCATGTGTATACCTATGTAACAAACCTGCATGTTCTACACATGTACCCCAGAACTTAAAGTATAATTAAAAAAATAGATGTAAGTATGGGTATGGACATAGGGTGGGTAGGAATGAGGACACAGATGTAAACACAGACGTATATTGAACTCATTCTACAAAGAAATAAGAAAAAGAAAGATAACTTCATTTCTCATAGCAAAATCTTCACAGGGATAAATCACCAGGAAAACGAGCCTTAGACATTCCCCTATAAAAACCCAGCCTCTCCAAGCCTGCTCTAAGCATAAGCCTCACCTGATCATCCCAACCAGGGCCGCATGATGAGAGCACATGTCCAAATTCCACATGTAACATTTACTTCCTGTGTGATCTTTGGCAAGTTTCTTATTCTCTCTAAGTCTTAGCTCCATATTTATGAAGTTGACTTCATAACTTCTACTTCCTATAGCTGTGATGACAATGAATAGGATCGCATGAATAATGGCCCATACATTGTCTGTCCCCTAGTCAAATAGGAGGCCTTCAGTGAATTGCATTTGTTATGATTGTATAATCATCAACATCCTTGGATTTTAATGTACATTCGGGGATTTCTCCTTAGTACCCAAAGGGCTCTTTGCAATTGGAAAGCATGATTTCGGGTACTAGGATACTGAGACAGGTACCAGGATGCTCTGTCTCAATTTTGGCTGATGCCCCAAGGAATTCAGAACCAAGAGATGTATTCATCAAGTAGTTTCCCTGAAGTCTCATCATTAGGAGGGATTGTGACAAGCTGAGATGCAGCTAGAAATGCATAGCCACTTTGGATACAGGTCTGCACATCCAGCAGTCAGGGAACTACTAGAATGGGACTCTCTCCATGGCACAGATGTGGGACAAGTGGCCACGCGGGAGAGTCAGGCTGCAGGCTGGAGCCTTCAGGTACCCTCTTGGGCAAAGTGTTGGAAATCCAATTTCCACTTTCAAGATGCAACCACCCGCTGCCTTCAGTCTGAGTCCTTGTCCTTTGCACAGCTCCCAGGTCTGGGCTTCCCTCCCCAGAACCATATTACGGGCAGGTGTGGGTGTGAGCGTGAGTGTGCACCTGTGACTGTAGGGAAGGGAGCTATAGAGAAAGCAAATCTTCCTGTGGCCTGGAAAGATCAGCTTTGTGCTGATTTCCTTCTTTTTTTGTTTTGTTTTGTTTTGTTTTTTGACAAGATCTAGCTCTGTCACCCAGGCTGGAGTGCAGTTTTGAAAGTCCCACCCAGGTAGTGGAAGCTTTAGCACCTTCCTTTGGAACGTGGGAATATTTAGACTGATTGCTTTCGACCCTCGGTCAAAATCGCATCAGTAAGTCCCCTTTGAATACTTGTTACACTAGGATGAGTTAAGACTAGAACTCGTATCATGGCAGGAATACCATTTATTTTAATAACACTTAGAGTTTTAAGTGACCCATCAAATGACAACATATAAATGCAGGGCAGGCCTGACATCCGCCACCTGTCCTCCCTGCCATTACTGCAGTGAAAGCTCAGACTGCTGCACGGACCTCAGCATTGCGGGAGTCTCGGAAGATACTGTTGTCCTCAGTGCTGTGTTTGCTGTAAGAAAAGTGATGAGAAACCTCTGTGATATGCTCTACAGATTAACTCAGGGGTTTAGGACGGAGAAAGAATTTACCTTTGACTAGTCTTAGTGCTTGGCCCATAATTAGCCCTTTCATTGTACACATTTATTGAATTGAATGAGCACCCACGCCGTAGCCAGTTGAACCAGAGACATGTGTCCTCTCTGTTTCACCAAAAATTGTGGGTCATACTAGCCCAGTGTCTTACCCTAATTATCTGGAGTAAAACAGGGATTAACTGGCTTCCAGAATTCCTGGATGAATCACCGCCCACAGCCCCCACTTGAGAAGGCAGCAGGTCATGTGGTCTGGCCCCAGGCTGGTCCAGGGGAGGAAACCCGACCCACAGGAGACCATCTGCCTACTGGCCAGTCACTGGTGTGTCATACAGGGCACTGTTCACTGGGACATGACTCAGACCATAAATTCTGTTCTCAGAATTTAGAATTGGGAAATTGGTGAGGGTCGCCAGTAGCAACAGATCAAGGTACAGGGAGTAACAAGACCACGGCCATAGCCGCTATGAGGAATGACATACTAGGTGAGAAAAGGAGGGTGTAGCAGACTTTAGATGGGAGAGGAAATGAGAAAGGCCATGGGGTCTCAGATAGGGGCAGAAATAGTAGCCTTTACTCCTTAATTCTCAATTCCAGCACTCTCGAAGTGTCCTTCCTCTTCCTGCCTTTGGCCTCTGGGATTTATCCTATTATTAATAACCCTATTAATAATAACAATGGTTATTATGAACATTATTCTGTCTTATTAAGAATAATCTTACAAAGGAAATTCTTTTAACTTGAACCTGTGTGAGTAGACATATATTCCTCAAACCCCAAAGAGCCTTGATTAAAGTAGTGACCCGTGTGAGCACCACTGGAAATAAAAATCACTCAACATTCAGCAAAGAAGATTGAGATCAAAAAAGCTGGCTGAGATTCGCACTGGGCATCCTTAAGGTGAGCAAACTGGTGGATTAACCTGCTGAGGTGCATTTTTATGAAGAAGAAAGATTACTCCATTTGAGAAGATTTGAGAGGCATGATAAATAAAAGGAGTTCCAGGTATGTCGTTGAGGGGCGGTGGTATCTCTAGCCTGTGACACACTCATGTTCTTTCCCAGGGGGAGCACACTCCTAGGAAATGGTTAGACTACAGGGGCAAGGAATATTGATTCATTTCATTCCCCCAAGGAAATTCTATAAAACTCACTTACTTCTCAGGGCCCACACAAGAGACCAAATAACTATTTCTGTCCTTCTATATACATTCCTGAATGGCCACTACACAAAAGTAAAAAGGGAAAAGAATATTCATCGTAGAGGAAAATGATACCAGCATGGAATGAGAAACAGTGCTGAAGATGGAGAAAGCCAGGGAGAAAGACAGCAAGACAGGGAGAGAGAGCAACTTTCTGGTCCATCTTTGAACTTCATAATTAGATGAGCCAATAAGTTATTTTTTTTTTTCTTTATTTGGGTTTCTGCCACTTGCAGCCACAACAGTCATGGTTCATAGAGTGCAGGTGATGAAAGAACCCAGTGACACACTGTAAACTATGTTCTTACTAAGATTACAATATCAGTCTCCAAATGGCACCAATCCTACTGCCACCGGCCCTGTCACATTGTGATTCACCATAAAATAAGAAAGAGTGTAAGATACTTTTTTTATTTTTTTGAGACAGAGTCTCACTCTGTCACCCAGGCTGGAATGCAGTGGCTCCTTTTCAGCTCACTGCAACCCCCACCTCCCAGTTTCAAGCAATGCTCCTGCCTCAGCCTCCCAAGTAGCTGGGATTACAGGCACGTGCCACCACACCCAGCTAATTTTTGTATTTTTAGTAGAGATGGGCTTTCACCACGTTGTCCAGGCTGGTCTCAAACTCCTGACCTCAGGTGTGACCTGCCACCTCAGCCTCCCAAAGTGCTGTCATTACAGGCAAAAGCTACCATGCCCAGTGTAAGATACTTTAATGGACCTTTCCTAAGGGAGTTAAGTGAAAAAATGGACCCATGATTACAATAATTACTAAAATAAGGAGTTAAAGAAAATTAATCTTATGCTGAAAACTATAAAACATTGATGATAAAAATTAAAGCAGGCACATAAAAATGGAAAGATAACCTATGTTCATAGATTGGAAGAATTGTTATTGTTAAAAGGTCTTATTACCCAAAGCAATTAACAGACTCAGTGCAACCTCTACCAAAATTCCAAAGACATTTTTTACAGAAATAGGAAAGCAATCCTAAATTCATATAGAACCACCAAAGCAATCGTGAGAAGAAGGGGACAAAAAAGCTGAAAGCATCACATTACTTAACTTCAAAATATAATACAAAGTTATAATAATCAAAAGGGTATGGTACTGATAGAAAAACAGACACTGAACAGAATATAGAGCTCAGAAATAAACCCATGCATATGCAGCAAGTTTTCAACAAGGACACCAAGAGTATGCAATGGAGAAAGAATGGTCTCTTCGATAAATGTCATTGGGGAAACTGGATGCCCACATGCAGAAGAATGAAATTGGACTCAGCTCACACACAAAAATCAGCTCTAAATGAATTAAAGACTTAATGTAAAGCCTAAAACCGAAAAACTCCTAGAGAGAAAAACATAGGGAAAGAGCTCCTTAATATTCCCCTTCTCCTGGCACTTACGTTTTTGGATATTACACCAAAGCACAGGCAACAAAAGCAAAAATAGACAACTAAGCCTCTATCAAACTAAAATGCTTCTGCACACACAAAAATAAAACCAATAAAATGAAGAGGCAACACAAGGAATGAATGGAAGAAAATGCTTGCAAACCTTATATCTAATAAGGGATTGATGTGCAAAATATACAAAAATACCATATGACTCAATGGTAAAACACACATACACACACACACACACACACACACATACACACACAAAATGACACAAGTTTTTTAATGAGCAGAGGAGCTGAATAGATATTTGTCCAAAGAAGACATAAAAATGGCCAAGAGCTGTATGAAAAGATGTTCAACCTCACTAATTAGCCAAGGAAATGCAAATCAGAGTCACAATGTGATATCACCTCACCCCTGACAGGATGGCCAATAGAAGAAAAGAAAGAAAGAAGGAAAGAGAGAGAGAGAGGGGGAGAGAGGAAGGGAGGGAGGGGGGGAGGGAGGGAGGAAGGGAGGGAGGGAGGGAGGGAGGGAGGGAGGGAGGGAGGGACTTCTGCCATTTTGTTACTGTATTCTGGCAGCTATGCTCTCTGGACCACCCTGCAGGTTCACAGTTGCATTCGGCATCCCTGAAGCTATGCTTCCATAATGCTACATGCATTTCCAAGGGTAGCAAAGATGAATAAATCTCCAATATAATTCCAGAAACTTCTATGTGTTTCCAAAAGCAAAATAAATGAATACATTTCTGGAGTTGGTGTTGTTCGAGAATATGGCTAAGGACTTCACTTGGGAGGAGTGGCAGGGCCTGGATGATGCTCAGTGGACCCTGAACAGAAACGTGATGCTGGAGACCTACAGCAGCTTGGTATCTTTGGGACACTGAATTACCAAACCTCAGATAATCTTCCAGCTGGAGCAAGGAGCAGAGCCATGGACAGAAGGGCCCAAAACACAGCCTCCCAGCCATGTGAAGATGCCTGCTACCACTGTGCCTTCGGCCATAAATCAAAGTTCCCTGAGGCCTCCCCAGCATTGGATGCTGCCGTGCTTCCTGTTCAGCCCACAGAACCATGAGCCAATTAAACCTATTTTCTTTATAAATTAAAAAAAGCAAGAAAGAAATGAAAAGAAAACAAGTGTGAGCAAGGATATCAAGAAGAGAACCCTCGTACACTGTTGGTGAAAATGAAAATCAGTGCACCCACTATGGAAAATAGTATGGAGGCCCCTCAAAAAATTAAAACCAGAACTACCATACAATCCAGCAATTCTACTTCTGGATATATATTCAAAGGAATTGAAATCAGGGGTTTGAAGAGAGATCTGCACTTTTACATTTATTGCAACATTATTCAGAATAGGCAGGCTATGGACTCAACTTACGTGTCCATCAGTTAATAAGTGGACAAAGAAATTGTGATATGAAAAGGTACAGATTTATGGTATATGATATAATGTTTGGATATATGTATACATTGTAGAATGGCTAAATCAAGCTAACATATGAATTGCCTTGTGTTTATCAATTTAAAAGTAAATAGTTGGGTTGTTTTTTTTTTTTTTTGAGACAGAGACTCGTTCTGTCTCCCAGGCTGGAGTGCAATGATCTCAGCTCACTGCAACCTCCGCTTCCCACGTCCAACTGATGCCCATGCTTCAGCCTCCAGAGTAGCTGGGATTACAGATGTGCACCACCACACCTGGCTAATTTTTTGTAATTTCAGTAAAGACAGGGTTTCACCATGTCTCTCAGGCTGGTCTTGAACTCCTGGCCTCATGTGATCTGCCCACGATAGCCTCCCCAAATCAGCCTTTAACAAGAAGAAAATCTCACAATTTGCAGCAACACTGATTAAACTGAAGGTCATTATGCTAAGTGAAATAAGCCAGACACAGAATGACAAATACTGCATGATCTCACTTCTATGTAAAACTTAAAGTTGTCAAACTCATAGAAGTAGATTATAGAATGGCAGTTGTCAGGGGCTGGGAGGAGGGAAAGACGGGAAAGTGAAAATTTTAGTTGTGCAAAATAAGTGTGCTCTAGAGATCTACTATAGAGCATATAGAGCATAGTGCCTATAGCTAACAATACTGTATTCTATACTTCAAATTTGCTAAAAGGAGAGATATTATGTTAAGTGTTCTTGGTACCAAAATAATCATCATTACGATCATCATAATGGGGGCAGGGGAAAACTTTGGAAGGTGACGTTATGTCTTCAGCCATGATGGGTGATGGCATTGCAAGGTATACTTTTTTCCAAAACTCATTGAAACGTATACATTAAATCTGTACAGCTTTTTATATGCCAATCATACCATAATAAGTGGGTTCAAAAATGAAAGAAAATAATTTGTTTCTCTATTATTATCAGACGTTTAGAGCCTTTAGCTTGTTAATTATATAATAGGACTCTCTCAAAGAAGAAAATAATATTCAAATATTCAAGGAGTGAATTAAAAAAAAAAAAGCTTTAGACATCTTGATCAAGGCTTTATTTCTGAGCCAGTTCGATTACCTTTCATATTATGTTTAGGACAAACTACGCTGCACTGCACCCTATGCTGACATGCATGAGAAAGAAGAGACAAGCTAATGAGAGAGGGAGAGCGTGGGGCGCTAGGGCGGAGGGGGCTATACTTCTGCCCTTTTCATTTACTTCCAGTACAGCAGCCAAGTGATCCCTCTGCCATGTGCCAGGCACTGAATGATATGTTAGTAACACAGAGATAAACAGGACAAAATTCTTGTGTCCAGGAAATTCTAGTCACGGAGAAAGACAAGTAATGATACCTCAATACATGGTGGACGCCATTAAAAGGAGAAAAGAAAGCTTCCTGGCAAAGATGCCCAAGGTATCAGGAAAGGCGTAGAGGGCATTTTACATTTATGTAAAAAGTAAGCAAGCCTGCCCCAAACCTCTTCTGGTTTTAAAATTGACAAGTCATACTATCCGCATGACCCTTTCCAAATGTATCCGCTGCTGCCCCTCTGCTGGCCTTCCCAAGGCCACATGGTCAACTTTTGCTATAGAACAGAGATCAGTGGAAATAATTGACATAGATTAAGCTACAGGCAGGTTGTATAGATCATGGGCCCAGATCTAATTCCTGCCCAGTCCACTCAATTACACAGGAGCTTCTTACTGGAGAAGCAGGTGTAGTTACTGTAAATAAGTTCAACTTTGGGCATGGATGTCATTGGGTAACTGCATTTTCCATGCTTGGGTGATGCATGAGCTTGCAGAGATATAGCCAGCCTTCCCTGACAGTGTGGTATCCTCAAGACAGGCTAGGATGGGGGGTAGAAAATGCACTGATAGACTATCAGGAGGCTAGAATGCTAGTCCTGGCTCTGTCTTTAATTCATAGTGTAACCTTAAGTCCCTCCC